CCCCTGCGTTGCATCCAGCATGAACCGGGCATTGCCCCCCACCACAACACGTTGCACCCAACGCGTTGCACAATCTCACGTTGCTCCCCGCTGTCAGAAGCCCCACGTTGCATCCCCCATGCTGCACCCCTCGTGTTGCACAAGCCCATGTTGTTCCCCCAGGATTGCATTCCCTGCATTGCACAGTCCCGTGTTGCACCCATGCGTCACGAGCCCCACGTTGTATCCCCCATTCTGCATGCCCTGCATTGCATGAGCCCACGTTGCTCCTCCAGCATTGCATTCCCCATGTTGCATGAGCCCATGTTGCTCCCCTGTATTGCGAGCCCACATTGCATCCCCCACGCTGCACCCCTTGCATTGCACAAGCTCACATTGTCCCCCCAGCATTGCATTCCCTGCATTGCATGAGCCCATGTTGCACCCCTGCATTGCGAGCCCACATAGCATCCCCCACGTTGCACCCCTTGCATTGCACAAGCTCACATTGTCCCCCCAGCATTGCATTCCCTGCATTGCATGAGCCCATGTTGCACCCATGCGTCACAAGCCCTACATTGCATCCCCCATGTTGCACCCCCTGAATTCCCCAAGCCCATATTCCCCTCCCACCGTTGCATTCCCCAGTTGCATGAGCCCATGTTGCTCTGCATCGGGCACCCTGCAGACCCACGATGCATGAGCCCCCACTGCACAAGCTCACATTGCACCCCTGTCTTGTGAGCCCACATTGCATCCCTTGCGTTGCACCCCTTGCGTTGCACCCCCTGCACGGCTCATCCCCCTGTGCTCTGCGCTGCAGATACAGGAGTGGGGCCCCTTCGACCTGGTGATCGGCGGGAGCCCCTGCAACGACCTCTCCATCGTCAACCCGGCCCGCAAGGGGCTCTACGGTAGGTGGTGGCCGCGCGGGTGGCCGGGGCCGGTGGCCGCGCGGCCCCGCGCTGAGCCGGCCCCTCTCCGCTCCCCGCGCAGAGGGCACCGGGCGCCTCTTCTTCGAGTTCTACCGCCTGCTGCACGAAGCGCGGCCCAAGGAGGGCGACGACCGGCCCTTCTTCTGGCTCTTCGAGAACGTGGTGGCCATGGGCGTGAGCGACAAGAGGGACATCTCGCGCTCGCTCGCTCGCGCTGCCCCGGGCCGGCCGCGTTGGAACTGAGCCGCCGCAACGGGCAGGGGACACGTGTGCCCTGCAACCCCCCGCGTGTGCAACCCCCACACGGCATGCCAACCGGGCATGCAACCCACCCGAGTGTGCGAACTGGGGTGTGCAATGCACCCAAGTGTGCAACCCACCCGAATGTGCATGCTGGGGTGTGCAACCCACCCAAGTGTGCGACCTGGGGTGTGCAATGCACCCGAGTGTGCGACCTGGGGTGTGCAACCCACCCGAGTGTGCACCCTGGGGTGTGCAACCCGCCCCTCAAGCGTGCAAACCTGGAGTGTGCAGCCCTCCCAGAGCATGCAGACCTGCAGCATACAGCCCTTTGGAGCGTGCAAACCAGAGCGTGCAACCCCGCTAGACCCCCACAAACTGGGGCAGGGGTGTGCAATGCACCCGAGTGTGCGACCTGGGGTGTGCAACCCACCCGAGTGTGCACCCTGGGGTGTGCAACCCGCCCCTCAAGCGTGCAAACCTGGAGTGTGCAGCCCTCCCAGAGCATGCAGACCTGCAGCATACAGCCCTTTGGAGCGTGCAAACCAGAGCGTGCAACCCCGCTAGACCCCCACAAACTGGGGCACGCAACCCCCTCAGAGAGTGCAAGCCCCTGAGTGTGCAAACTGGAGTGTTGCAGACACCCCAAGTGTGCAAATTGGACACTGCAAGACCCCCAGAGCATGCGGGGTGGAGCATGCAACCCCCCCAGAACTGCAAACATGCAACCCCTCAACTGGAGCATACAAGCCACCCAGAGCATGCCAGCCGGGCTGCACGTCCCCCAGGACGTAGCCTGGCCCTGGGGCTGCCTGTCCCCTCGCGGTCCCTTCCCTTGGTGGGGACGGTCTGTGACCCCCCCGCTGCCTCCCTTGCAGTCCAACCCCGTCATGATCGATGCCAAAGAAGTGTCAGCCGCGCACAGGGCACGGTACTTCTGGGGGAACCTGCCCGGCATGAACAGGTGGGTGCGCGGCGCCGGCGCGGGGCCGCGGGGCCGTGGGGACGTCACCCCGTGCCCACTCGTGCTCTGTCCCCCAGGCCGCTGGCGTCCACGGTCAACGACAAGCTGGAGCTGCAGGAGTGCCTGGAGCACGGGCGGATAGCGAAGGTGCGCGAGGGAGGCGGCGTGGATGCAGGAGGAGGGATGCGGAATGCGGGGTTGCGGGAGGCGGGATGCACGATGCAGAGCGTGGGGTGCAGCTTGGGGGATGCAGCATGCAGGATGTGGGATGCAGAATGTGCCATGCAGCATGGGAGGATGCAGGACACAGGATGTGGGATGCAGAATGTGTGGTGCAGCATGGGAGATGCAGCATGCAGGATGCAGGACACAGGATGTGGGATGCAGAATGTGTGGTGCAGCATGGGAGGATGCAGGACACCGGATGTGGGATGCAGCATGTGCGGTGCAGCGTGCAGGATGCAGGACACAGGATGTGGGATGCAGAATGTGCGGTGCAGCGTGGGGGGATGCAGCGTGCAGGATGTGGGATGCAGAATGTGCGGTGCAGCATGTGGGATGCAGGGTGCAGGACACAGGATGTGGGAGGCAGAATGTGAAGTGCAGCATGAGGATACAGTGTGCAGGACACAGGATGCAGGACACAGGTTGTGCAGTGCAGGGTGCGGGAGATGCAGCGTGCAGGACACAGGATGTGCAGTGCAGCATGGGGGTGCAGCGTGCAGGATGCAGGAGACAGGATGTGGGGTGCAGCATGGGGGATGCAGCGTGCAGGACGCAGGATGTGCGGTGTAGGATGCGGGAGATGCAGCGTGCAGGATGCAGGAGACAGGATGTGGGGTGCAGCATGGGGGATGCAGCGTGCAGGACGCAGGATGTGCGGTGCAGGATGCGGGAGATGCAGCATGCAGGACGCAGGAGGTGGGATGCAGGATGTGCGGTGCAGGATGCAGGATGTGCAGTGCAGGATGTGCAGTGCAGGCTGCGGGAGGTGGCTGCAGGCTGCGGCGCGCGGAGCCGGGCGCGGGACCAGCCTCTGCCTCTTGCAGTTCAGCAAGGTGCGGACCATCACCACGCGCTCCAACTCCATCAAGCAGGGCAAGGACCAGCACTTCCCCGTCTTCATGAACGAGAAGGAGGACATCCTGTGGTGCACGGAGATGGAGAGGTACCGCGGGAGCCTCAGCCCCGCGGGCTCCGGCCCTTCCGCGCGATCCCTCCTGTTCCCAGCCCCGCTCACCCTTCTCTTCCTCCATTCCCCCTGTTCTTCCTCCCCCCCCCTCACCCTCCTCTTCCTCTGCCCTCCTGCTCAACCTCCTTCCTCCTCCCCTGCTCACTCTCCTCTTCATCCCTCCTCACTCACCCTCCTCTTCCTCTTCTCCTGCTCACCCTTCTCTTCTTCCTCCTCTCACTCAGCCCCTTTTTTCTCCCTTGCTCACCTGGCTCTTCCTGCTCTCCCACTCACCCTGCTCTTCCTCCCCCTGCTCTTCCTCCCCTCTCGCCCTGCTCTTCCTCCCCCTCTCGCCTTCCCCCTCTTGCCCTCCTCTTCCTCTCCTGCTCTTCCTCTCATGCTCTTCCTCCCTGCTCCTCCTCCCTGGCTCATGCTGCTCTTCCTCCCCCGCTCTCCCTCCTTGCTCTCTCTCCCTGCTCTTCCTTCCCAGCTCACCCTGCTCTTCCTCCCCTGCTCTTCCTCTCCTGCTCTCCCTCCCTGCTCTCCCTCCCTGCTCTTCCTCCCCTCTCACCCTGCTCTTCCTCCCCTGCTCTTCCTCCCCTGCTCTCCCTCTCTGCTCGCCCTGCTCCTCCTCCTCGGCTCTCCCTGCTCTTCCTCCCCTCTGCTTGCCCTGCTCTTCCTCCCTGGCTCAC